TCAGATATGCAGATGACACCACCCTTATGGCAGAAACTGAAGAAGAACTAAAGAGCCTCTTGATGAAAGTGAAAGAGGAGTGAGAAAGTTGGCTTAAAGCTCAACATTCAGAAAACTAAGATCATGGCATCTGGTCCCATCACTTCATGGGAAATAGATGGAGAAACAGTGGAAACAGTGTCAGACTTTATTTTTTGGGGGCTCGAAAATCATTGCAGATGATGATTGCAGCCATGAAATTAAAAGACACTTACTCCTTGGAAGGAAAGTTATGACCAACCTAGACAGCATATTAAAAAGCAGACACATTGTCAACAAAGGTCCATCTCGTCAAGGCTATGGTTTTTCCAGTGGTCATGTATGGATGTTGAGAGCTGGACTGTGAAGAAAGCTGAATGCCAAAAAATTGATGCTTTTGAACTGTGGTGTTGGAGAAGACTCTTGAGAGTCCCTTGGACTGCAAGGAGATCCAACCAGTCCATCCTAAAGGAGATCAGTCCTGGGTGTTGATTGGAAGGACTGATGCTGAAGCTGAAACTCCAGTACTTTGGCCACCTCATGGGAAAAGCTGACTCATTGGAAAAGACCCTGATGCTGGGAAGGATTGGGGGCAGGAGGAGAAGGGGACGACAGAGGATGAGATGGCTGGATGGCATCACCGACTCAATGGACAGGGGTTTGAGTAAACTCTGGGAGTTGGTGATGGACAGGGAGGCCTGGCGTGCTGCGGTTCATGGGGTCGCAAAGAGTCGGACACGACTGAGCGACTGAACTGAACTGAACTGAGTAAAGGGACTAGTTATAAAGGTGTGATCAGGGTGTAAGGAAACCAAAAAGCGATGGAACAGTACCCCGTGACTAGTAGTATGTCACCATCCCAGAAGCTCGAAAGGGCCAGAGGAGGGAAGGTTTCTAGAGCCCCAGGGAAGAGTGTGTGGCAAGGGCCACCTGTCAGGAGTAGATACAGACTCAGCCTGCCATGATCCTGAGAGGAGGAATCCTGGAGAGGACTAGCACCCCAGACTCACTCTCCCCCTTTCTGCTCACCTTTTGCTTTGGGTCCTCATTGACCAAATCTAACTGAACACAGCAGGCTTGGGGGCCTCTTGATGCCGTCCCTACCAGCCAGCAGCAGGGCACAAAGCAGCGTGGAGAGTGGACCTGGAAAACAACCTGACCACCCTCAGCCCGTTCCAGTCAGCAGCCTCTCCCATCAGATCTACAACACCCCGTGTCCTCACCACTGCAGCAGTGCTCAGGTGCCCACATCCCGCACCCCCCGGCCCCCCGCCCCCACTAGACTGTGAGCTCCTCGGCAGGGGTATCTGCTATGTCTTAACCATCTTGGTATACCGCCCACGCCTAGCACAGAGTCGAGCACATGGTAAGGGCTCCATAATATTGAATAAATAAGGATCCACCTGATCAAATGCTAATTTCATAATAGCAAGTAAATTTCTTAATCTATTATCAGCTGATGCCTCAGTATGACTTAGGGCAAGAAAGAACAAGTTCCAGCATTATTAAGTTTGAAGTTACTGTCCCCAGAGGACACGTACTCCCTTGTTTTATTTTATTTTTTATTTTTTTCAGTGGATCTGTGTCATCAGTCAATAAGCCTGCAGCAGCTTTCCCCCTGGGGGAGGCAGAATTCCTACCGGAAATTAACATTCATCTGTGATTCTTTTTTTTTTTTTTTGTGTAACAAAGTTAACGCAAAGCAACTGAAAGCAATGGCAACATTATTTCATGCAAATAACAGGATGGGTCAAACAGAAAGATGCGCTGGGAAAGTGAATGTACCAGGTAGAGGCAGCCGCGCGAGGCTCACAGCTGTTTGCCACTTCGCTGTGTTTATGGAAGCGCACAGATGCAGGCATGAGGGGGGTGAGGGAGTCGCAGACCCTGGCGGTCTGTCGTGTCTGCCCCTGCGTCTCTATTTGCACAGCCATCCCAGGTCGCCTCCTCTTTCGATCTGTCCTAAGCTGCGGAAATGGGGAAATCTACTTTGGCAGAAATTTTCAACCCATCATTAGCTTAATGTTCAAACCCTTTTGACAAGCATCTCCCACTCCACCCTTAGTGATGGAACGTGTCTCTTGTAACTGGTTCTCCATCGTGTACCTGCAGTTCCTTTGGCTGCATGTTATGTTGAAGGTAAACGCTGTCTTCACTTTGTTGTGAATTCTTGCCACATTCCAACTAGTAGGCACTCTAGAGGGATTTCTGATTAAAAAACCCACTTAGAGATACCTGCTCCCTACGTGTCACAACAGCAGCTCTCCACCTTGCTAGAGGTTGATGGCGGCAGTGTGTGATGACTCGGCTTCATCCCCATTCAGCCGCTCACCCGGCCGACGGATGGTTCTGTTCCTCCCCCCACTGTGCCCAGAGAGCTCCACAGGCCATGACAAATCAGGAACGCTGCCAGCTTGCTACCTGACTCCTCTCTGCCTCCCAACACAATGCGAAACAAGCTCCCGTTTCTCCATGCCGCACGCAAATAGAGACTGTTCTTCAACTTCAGAAATGCCCTTGGCACAGACCGCAGCAGCCTACCAGTCACAGGGACTCTCTCCATCTTTCAGAGCCACGGCCAAGGTGCTGGTCACAGGATTCAGGAAGCCCATGACTCAGTGACTCTTTCCCTGAGACGGAGGGGGTAAATGTTCCCTCGTCAGTCCCCAGAACCTGGAGCCAAACCCTCGGGGGAATCATGCACTCACTCCGTGTCTCCTTCTCGGAGATCCTGCTGCCAGGCCGGGTTGCCATGTTGCTCAACTCTAAGTAAGTGGCGCTCGCTGGGCCCTGGTGACTGTGGAATGTGGCGGGCCCTGGTGCCAAGCGCCGTCTTGAACAGAGCGAGGCCCCTGACTGTGTTACAGTTACTGTACTCCCCCTCTGCTTCTTCAGAGGCCCTCTTTCATCTCCCCCGCCCTGCTCTGTGACCCTGGAAACAGACCTTTGCGTGGCATCAGCACCCTTGCCCTCCAGCTCCCCACTGGCAGGAGACGGGAAGGAGGGGAGTGCCGCGTTGCCCTGGGGCTCCGCCCTCACCACTCCACTACCTTCTCAGAGTTCTGGCGCGCACTCTGCCTGTCCTGCCGTCAGGAGCCCGAGGAGATCGCCCTCCCCCTCATCGCCTTCGTCTTTCTAAATGGTTCCTTTAAGAAACTGTTTTCATGCGACGCAGTTCCAGTGGGCCATCACTGATGTCTCGCTGGGATTCTCGCTGGGAGTCAGATGTGACTCAGCGACTGAACAGCAACACCAGGCAGAGCTGACAGCAGCATGGAGAAAAGACCAAAAGCAAAAGCAAACACGCGTGCAGGCATAATTTATGCAATTTCAGAGAGTGAAAAAGCTGAGAAAAGTAAAACAGGGTCATGGGACGGGGTCACCAGCTGATTCTGCTCACTGCCACTTAATAGCCTAATTCAGCCGGGCACCTCCTTCCTTCTGCCTTTTTTTTTTTTTAAATCATGTAGTCATATTGTTACGTACATGTCAATTCCCTGACTTAAATTGAATAAATTATTTTCTTCAGAAAAAAAAAGAAGGACCATCTGATTGACACCTAGGGAGAAGAGCTGTGTCCTAGAGTGGCCTGGAAAGGGCTTTCTGAAGAGCGAATGTATGACAAACACCATAATGATGAGAATGAGGCAACTGCTCCAGCGTAGGGAGAAAGAACATTCCAGAACAGCAGATGCATAGGGTCCCAAATGACAAAGAGTTTGCACAGCATGGTCCTAGCAGACTAGAAGAGAATGATAGGAGATGGGGTCAGGGAGGGAGGGCACAAAGGAGATTGGGTTTTATCCTAAAGGCACGGAGAAGTCATCACAGAATTTGGGGCAAGAGAGCTGGAATGGCCACGGTCCTAAGAGAAATCAAATTAAACCATGAAATTGTTTAGATGGAGAGAATGTGATGAAAGGATTATTCACGCAGGTGTAGGCAGGGCTAAGAACTAATAAAGGGGTGAAGTGTGTGGGAACCAGCGACAGAGGGAAGCTGTTAGCAGCCCTCTATTTGGACAGGACAAGGAGGGAAAGTCGTCCCTGGCGGCTGGGAGGAGGAGTTGGGAAAGAAGGGCCGTGGATGGGAGCTGCGTCAGCTGGTGACTTCCCCAGGGTGTTAGGAAGGTCTGGAGAGTGGAGATGGAGGCAGATCAGGGCACATCCTGAGCCACGGGGGATGAGCCCCGGGGAGGATGACGTAGGAGGACGGTCGGACACCCAACCAGCTGCACATGTGACGGGAAGCAGAGAGACGGGGAGGAAGGAATTTCATCATCCGACGATCACCCTTAGTCCCAATTTGTTGTTCAGCCACTCAATCGTGTCTGCGTCTTTGTGACCTCATGGACTGCAGCACGCCAGGCTTCCCTGTCCTTCACCATCTCCTGGAGCTTGCTCAAACTCACGTCCATCATGTCGGAGATGCCATCCAACCATCTCATTCTCTGTCGTCCCCTTCTCCTCCTGCCCTCAATCTCTCCCAGCATCAGGGTCTTTTCAATGGCTCTTCACCCCAGGGGTCAAAGTATCAGGACTTCAGCATCAGTCCTTCCAGTGGATACTCAGGGTGGATTTCGTTTAGTCCCAACGTGACTCAGCAAACCCTGATGGTCTTCACAAACAGAAACACCCTCAGGACTGGGGCCCGAAGCTGGGCGGTTCAAGGGAAGGCAAGCACAAGCCGTGGCGCCACAGCACAGGGGGCTGCCAGCCCTCAGATGGGCCGCACCGTGAGTGTGGCGTGGGCGCGCGGGAGAGCCGCCTGGCCCTTGGAGCCGAGCCACAGCTTCGAGGGTGGTTTACTCAGCCGGCTTCACGGGCATGCTGAACTTTTCAAAGTCCTGAGCTCCCATGGCTCTGTGGGCCAGGAAAGCCCGTCGGGTGTGGGCCTGAGCTGAACAAAGGCCTCGCTGCCTTGCACCTGCTCACACCAAGGGGCCCCTGTCAACTGGCCGGTACAGGCTGGCAGAGATAGAGATGGCTTCCAGCCCTCTGCTCCTGAGTGCGGAGGAGAACAGAGCTCTTAGTGAGACTCAGATCCAGGGAGAGAAAACACTCTGGGGTTTTCTCAGAGAAGGTACTTATATATAGCCTTCTTTTCCCCCTTCTGGTTTCTGCCTTGTAAGGTACAGGAGAAAAAACCAACAGAGCATTGCTCTCTTAAGAAGCCTCAGCTGCCCCCAACTGACATTATCCAGTCTTTCCAAATGTTTTTAGCAGCATGAATCTTTTTACAAACAAGTGTGCCACAGAATCTTCATGTATAACACAGATGACGCCCCAGTGGCCATTCCCTAGACTTTCCCACAGCCTTGATTCCAGGCAGCTTAGCGGCATCCTCCTGAGTGTGTGTGCGTGTGAGGTTCATTGAGGCCTGATTTACGTACAGTAAAATTCACCCTTTTTAGGCATACAGTTAGATGAGCTTTGACATGGCCTTGTAACAATGCCACAATCCAGACACAGAACGGCTCCATCATTGCCCAGATCCCCTCCTGCCCCTTGCCCCCACCGCCACTCCCCACAGCCCCCAGCCTGATGTCTGGCCGTGAATTCTGGCGATTCCAGAGCATCACATAGATGGAGCCAAGCAGTAGGCAGCCTTTTGCGTCTGGCTTCCCCCGTTCCAGCCCAATGCTTTCCAGAGTCAGCCACGGGCTTGCACATGATCAGTAACTGGTTCCTTTTTATTGCTGAGTAGAAGTCTGCTGTTCTTGTGTGGTTTCCAAAGTTGTCCTTCAGGTTCTGATTCTTTTCTACGTAGAACAGGAAGCTCCCATTCAAATAATCTTCTTTCTGCCTGAGAACACTGAGACGGAGCCGTGGAGGCCACTGCCGCAGCACGGGTGGGCTGCGGCTGCTGACCCCGGCAGGGTCGCGGGCGTGCCTGCACTCACCAGGGCCCCTCGCCTCCAAAGCACCTCCGACTCGCCCAAGGACTAGGGTTCTGGAATCTTTAAATCAAAGCAAGGGAATATTGCTTGCTATTTCTTTCAAATTATAATTAGCAGACCAATTCTTGAGCTGGGGAAAGAATAAAAGGGAACGTATGCAATGGAAAAGAAACCCTGGCCACTAAAGGTCGTCAAAGGACAAAGTTGTGTGACCCAAACACAAATCTGTACAACTAACTGCAACCAAAACCTTCAGCCTTGGCCACGGCTCACCTGACTGTGCAGTGACAAGGAGCTTTGGATTCTCAGTCCTGCCACCTGACCAAGAGCTTTCGTTCCTCTCCCAAAAGCCATGCTGCTCGCTGACCAGCTCACTGAGTGCGGACCTGTGTGTGGAGAACGAGGCGGGGGAGGCGGGGCAGCAGGGTGCGCCCACAGAGCCGGGTCTCAGGGCCTTGGGTGCCCTGCTCCGGAGTCTGGAACTTACACCACAGGCAACCGGAAGGAGCTGAGGGCTTTAGATAGCGGCGGGTCAGTGTGCCTGCTGGAGACCCCTCCACTGTCCAGGGTAGGGAAACCTGTTGGGGGACTCTGCCATGGTTCAGGAGAAAGATGATGCATCAGCAAGATGATGGAGAAGAAGGAAACCATCTCAGAGACATGTGGGATGCAGAATTAGCAGAGTCTGAAAGAAGGTGAGAGAAAGGAAGGTGCAAACAACAGCTCTTAGTTACCCCCAATAACACTGCGAGGTAGGTGTTCTGTCCATTTCACAGATGACAAAACTGAGCCTAGGGAGGCTGCATTAATGTGCCTGAGTTTACGAGCTAATGGGGCAGAAATCATACCACATAACTGAGGCACTGCACTCAAGATCACTCAGCTGTGTGACAGTGAGAAACACACTTAAGGGAGTATTGGAAATTACCTTTAAAAAGCCAAAAACTTGCTTTGGGAAGAGAGTATCCTTGAGTCCTCATAGAGTAGTGTTTGGGCAGTTATCATCAGTGAGCTAAGTGGAATGAGCAGAGTGTAAGATGGCTTGCCCGGTTCTCATCTTCCTCACTTATCCTCTTTCGTCCTTCCTCTCACATCTGGGGAAGAGAGATTTGTGTAATAACGAGTTAGTGTTTGACAGCATTTTCAGCAAAGCCTGCTGCCAGCTGCCTCTTCTGACCCAGACACCTCCCCCAACATCATTTTATTCCTTTCGGGTAAGTGGCCTCCTCCCCACTTCCCAACTGCTCTGGAGATGAAAGAAGGCAGTGAGGGATTTATCCTTTTTCCCATAATATTGTGGCTGTAATTTAAAGCTGCCATAACTCATGTGTAGAACTGTGACCATAATACCATGGAAAAAGCCATCATTCAAACCCCAAAGGAAGAAATGTGGAGTCCTGTTTCTTCCAGCTGTAAATTGCCTCAAAACCAACAGACAGCTAAGGGCACAACCAGACAATGGAAACTAAGGTTTGGAAAGTTACCCGTGATGAACTGTTTTTTTTTTTTTCTTTTCTCCATTTTCCCCCATTTCACTAGAATCAAAAATAATTTTTTGTATTAGAAGGTGACCAGGACCAGATGATTGACCTGTATTCAGCTAGTAAATGACTCTCTAAATTTGGGGGATACCCTAAAAGACTCATAGAACTGTATTAAATTTTCAGATAATAGAACCTGGTCAAGTTGAGTTGGATCAGTTAGACTAGTTCTGTGAGGACACCAGCCATGAGTCCTCCGGGCACCATGGTGCCTGTTTTTCCTATGTTTCTGGGATGGTCTGTTCCAGACCTGTAATTTCTCTCGCTCTATTCTTGTCCATGCTTCCCAGCTGTGGGTGAATATAATGGCCTGTGCTATGGTTAAAACTCACTGCCCTAATTATTCTCCAGTGAGCTCATGCAGGAGATCCTGAATCCCTAAAATCTGCTCCCTGTATGTCCTGTCACACTCAGCTCTGTCCAGGATGCATACTGAGACACAGGTATGAACACCTGCTATGCATCAAGAACATTCTCCATACTTTGCGCTCACTATATGTCTCATTTCATCCTCACAACTCTGCAAGTTATAGATTATCACTCCCAACTTACAGCTGAGGAAATGAAGTTATCAAGTGTCTCTATGAGTAAGGAGAGGAAAAATTCTAACCCTGGTCAATGGAACGCAACAACTCAGTGCTCCTGCCTCTCCTGGTTCACCATTCTTTCAGGAGGTGAGATGCATATGACCTCTTAGAAAAAGGAGGACGGAATTCTCAGAAATGTTACTGAATGTATAAGCGTCATTAAAAAATTTTTCTTTATTTTTGGCTATGCTGGTTCTTCACCGCTGTGTGGGCTTTCTCCAGTTGAGAAGAGTGGGGGCTACTCACTGCAGGGGCTTCTCCCGTTGCTGAGCACGGGCTCTCGTGTGCGCAGGGCTCAGGAGCTGTCATGCAAGGGCCCAGGGGTCGGGCTCCCTGGCTCTAGAACACAGGCCCAGGAGTCGGGCTCCCTGGCTCTAGAACACAGGCCCAGGAGTCGGGCTCCCTGGCTCTAGAACACAGGCCCAGGAGTTGTGGTTCATGGGCTTAGCTGCTCCATGGCGTGTGAGATCTTCTCAGACCTGGGAATGAACCCATATATCTTGAATTGGCAGGTGGATTCTTTACCCCTGAGCCATGAGGGAAGCCCCGAACTTCTAAATCAAATATTGCCTAAATGTTTCTATTATTTACTTTTGAAGTTAGTAAGTCTCGATTCTTGTGCTTGTGCCTTCAGGTTACGAGTTCAGATTCGAGGGTTAGATGGCTTAAATTCAACTCCAATCCCGTCAGTTCTTACCAGTTTTGGCTTTGGGTAATGAAGTCAATAACCTGTGTCTTGGTTTTTTCCTCTTAGAATGAAGATTCTAAGTAGTATACACTTTACAGTACTCAATTTTAAAAGGATACATTGACACAAAATGTCCAATACAGGTGTGGCAAGTGGGTTTGTGTAGTTGACTTACACTGGGGGCCTCAAATGAACCATGCCTTCCAATACTAAGCCCTGGGGTAATGTCCTCCCTCCAAGTGTCTGGACTTGGCTGGATAACTTGCATTGGCCAATGGGATACTAGCAAGTGGTATGGAAGCAGAGTCTTAATAAATTCTTGCATATAGGGGTTTGTCTTGGCACATTTGCTCTCGAAGCCCTGAGCTACCATATAAAGAAGTTAGGTGATCCTGTTGGAGAAACTCCCGGGAGAGAAAGCGAAATACCAACTCAAACCCTAGCTGTTCTGTTCCAGGCATCCCATCCAGCAAGATATCCATCTTGGACATTCCAGCCCTAGAAGACACCATGTGGAGCAGAAGCAGAAGTACCACCCAGCTGAGCCCAGTCAACCCACAGACTCCTGCCTGCCCAGTTGCTTCAGTCATGTCTGACTCTTTGCAACCCCATGGAGTGTAGCCCTACATGCTCTGCTGCTCATGGGATTCTCCAGGTAAGAGCACTGGAGTGAGCTGCCATTTCCTCCTCCAGGGGATCTTCCAGACCTGGGAATTGAACCCGTGTCTCTTACATTTCCTGCATTGGCAGGCAGGTTATTTACCACTAGTGCCACCTGGAATACTAAGAAATAATAAAATGTTCTTTTAAGCTACTACATGTTGTAGTGGTTTGTTACACAGCAGCAGGTAACTGAGATTAAAAAGTCCTTTCAATAAATGTCAGCTATTTTTTTAAGTTGTCATCATTATCCATTAACTTTATTTCCTCCAAAATAATAAACATTAAGACATAAAAAACTGTGTTCCTCAATATCTCCTTCATTCAACAAAAATGTGGTGTGTTTCTACTATGGGCCAATCAACAAGGATTTGTCTCCCATTTTTTAAAAAACATGGTGTTCCCCCCCCTCAAGGATTCTTGCATAGGAATTTTGAACTCTTAGATTTGCAAAATAGACAAATTTAAATTTCTCATCTTGTTGGAATACTATTTATTGAGTGACTACAATGTTTATCCATTTTAAAAACCTTTTAAAAATGCATGAAGCAATGAGTGCAGAACCCGACCTTATTTTTCATATCTCCCTGACTCTTGATAGGAAGTTGAAAAATACTCAACACTACATCAAAACCAGGCGCTCAAGGATAAAAGGGCCTTTGAAAGGTCAGCCAGTCTGCTCCAGTCTAGGTAGGCTTTCATCTCAGCTTCCCAGAGAGCAGCCAAGGCTCCTGTTTTTAAAGATCTGCAAGTAACATTCCTACAGAAGCAACCGCAAAGCCCTTCACGCACTGATGCTTCCAGAGGAAACCAGGGCGTGGGGCTCACTGGGCCTTCCCTCTCTGTCTCCTATGCACAGGTGCTAAATCATGTCAGCTGCAACCCCATGGCCGGGAGCCCACCAGCCTCCTCCGTCTGTGGGATTCACAAGGCAGGAATATTGAAGTGGGTTGCCACGCCCTCCACTTCCTCCTAATTCATGGACTGCTGTAATTTAGGGTCATGTTTGTGGCCCTAAAGTGCCATTTGGTTGAAAATCACCCACAGACATGATGAGTTAAAACAATCGGGTGGTAGTGAGAGCTTGAGTGTGAGCAAACTCTGGGGGATGGTGACGGGCGGGGAAGCCTGGCATGCTGCAGTCTCCCTGGGGTCACAAACAGTCGGACACGACTTAGTGGCTGAAAAGACAGAGTTTGTCTCCTTCCACAGCTCTCCTGTGGCCAGGACCTGCGGTCCTTCATCTCCTCAAAGACTGCCTGACTTCAGCTGTTGATAGGACACAGGAGTTTTAGCCTTGCATTAGTCCTCCATATCTCATACCCTGTTAATCCCATTTTAAAATCCGAGAGCAAGGAGATGAGTCTAATCCAGCTCCCACACTTATGTGCTGTCATCATTTTAAGATATGAATGAGAGTGGGAGTGGGAGGTCAGAGAGGGACCAGGAAAAGCACCTGGCCTGGAGACAAACATTCACAAAGCATCTCAAACGTGAATTGTGGACGTTATTTCCTAAAAAGGCATTATATATAGATGCTTCTTGTTCAAATCTAAACTGTGTCCTGTGATGGACCTACACCTCATCTCAGGTATTGCAAAGTAATTAAAGAAAAACAAACATGCAATCACCCAAGAACAGCACACTTATACGGGCTCTCCTGGGCTCACCAGTAAAGCATCAGCCTACAATGGGGGAGCTGCAGGAGACGTGGGTTCAATCCCCAGGTCAGGATGGTCCCCTGGAGGAGGCGCACTGGTAACCCACTCAGTATTCCTGCCTGTAGAACTCCACGGACAGAGGGGTCTGGTGAGCTACAGTCTATAGGGCTGCAAAGAGTTAGACATGTCTGAAGCGACTTAGCATGGTACGGCATAGCAGTTATATACTACTGTGTTTTCTGAGTTAAAATTATACCTTGCTAAGGTAAACTTTAAAATATGCCACAGTTTTGTGATCTTGTTTTGACAAACTTTTAAAACAATAATTGTGAAGCATTTGTGAATCTTATATGCTAGGAGGGCTTCCCTGGTAGCTCAGCTGGTAAATAATACCTGCAATGCATGAGACCCTGGGTTGGGAGGATACACTGGAGGAGGAAATAGCTACCCACTCCGGTATTCTTGTCTGGAGAATCCCCATGGACAGAGGAGCCTGGCAGGCTACAGTCCATGGGGACACAAAGAGTCAGACACGACTGAGTGACTTTCACTTTCAGTATATGCTAGGAATTTAGCAGTTGACATCACAAGCTGGTGAAATGGGAACTATTTCCAGCCCATTTACAACTGAGGAAACTGAGGCACGGACATGATAAGAAGTAGGCCCAGGGCCCAGGTAACCGAGCAGAACCTTATGAATCCTTCCCAGAAGAGGCCCCCACCCATGCTTTCTGCCTGCCTTTTGTCTGTAGAAAAACTTTAGTCAAAGAATAAGTTTAATCACAGAAGTGAGAAAATGCAGAAAGAAAGGGAAAAAAAAAGACGAAATAATAATACCTTAGCCATTAAACAAAGTCGGGTCTATAGATTCTATCTCAAGGTCTATAGATAATATTGTCATGTGAGCTGTTTTGCAGATACTGAAACCCCCACCAGGTGGGAGAAGTCAACTGTATGCTGCCCACAAGCACGGAGACCCCAGACTGGATGGAACCAGAAGGCTGAAGATGTTGACTCCCGATTACCCCACCGCCAACCAAGCAGAAGAATGTCCATGAGCTGATAACACCTGCTCCCGGAACACTACAACTCTCCTCACTATGCCCTCATGGTTGGGACAGATGGAGGGCATTAGCCTGCTGTGGCCCCCTGTGCCTGACAAACCCATAGGAGCTACTCTTTTCTATGTCACCCAAATCGCTGTCTCCATGTTCCTATTTGGCATCAGTGAACAGAGGCTGAGTTTTAGCCACACCCCCCGGTGACGGAGCACAGAGCTCAGATGTAAGCCGTGGTAACCTGGCTCTAGGGGTCATGTGTTCAACCCCTAACTCTGCTGTGACCTTGATGTCTGAGTCTCCACACACAGGGAGGGTCCCTTCTATCTCTAAGAAGTGCTGGAAAGAGAGGGTGGGGAAGAGGGGCATGAGAACTGTGTGGTTGTTGAAACACAAACTGCAGGGCCTGCTGGAGTCAAGGTGAGGCTGCCTTCGAGGAACCCATCAGGAGCAGCCTGTCCTCCCGGCGGCTGCCAGGGCTTGGCCCGTGCTGTGCTTCTGCACCCCGCCCCCGCCCCAGCCACACACGCCTTCTGCCTTTCCTCCAGGCTCCGTCTCCATCTCTTGGCCTCAGGATTCCCGCACGTGAGGGCCCTGAGTCCCTTCCTCCAGCTGCTCCTCTCTCGGCCCAGTCTACGCCCCGCCCTCAGGGGCTCCCGAGTGGAAGCCACGCTCTCACCCGAGATGGGCCGCGGAGAACCCAGGATCCAGAATTTCTACCGCCTCAGGCTCTGGGTTGACCTTTCTGGGCCCGAGGTCCTGGGAGCAGAGGAGTGTGAGTGAGAGGAAGGCGGACGGCCCGGGAAGCCCACTGCAACAGGGGAGGTGGGGAGATGCGCGTTTGCGTCGTAAGCAGTGTCCTGGAAGCCTGCTGACACTGCGATTCGGCCTTCGGGGTACACGTGTAGTCACCTGCAGGTGACGTCACTCATCACGGTGCCAGCGAGCCTGGCCCCTCGGCCACGGTTGCTGCAATCACGAAGGGTCATGGGCACAGAGGATGTGAGTTTTGTAATGTCCCACAACATGTTTGGGGCCTGAAAAATGAAAATGGATGACTGTAACAGAAAAATAAACCATAAAATAAAAGTCTAATGAAATGCTTACAAACCGCAACAGTGTACCGCCTAGTCAGTAACAAGTCAGTTCATACGTAACCAACATGTAATGCAGACGGTGGGTGGATTTCCATCTGATTTAATACATTTGCAATGATCTTCAACTGGCACTGAGGTAAAAGGCTTGCTCCCTCTGAGGCAGGGCGCAGTGAGGACAGGATTATAAGTGCTGGGGGATTTGCATAGAGAGGAGGGTTCATGGGTGGGCATGACAGACCCGTAAAAGAGGGCGGAGTGAGACAAAGGGGGCCCTGTCAAAGATGCTCACATGTTCCCCAAAGTAAGCCCTTCCCTCTCGCTCCTCAAACTTAAGTAAAATTCCAAAAATTACAGTTTTGATGCAATTAAATTTCTTGCAGAAGTCAGCAAAGGGTGTGGGTGGGGGACCGAGGCGGGAGTTTTGCCTCTGTCTCAGCATCTCTAAAAGTGAACCTGCCGCTGTCTGCAGTTGACAGCAGCCGGGTTTGGGACATCCACCCTCTATGCGGTAGAAAATTCACATATAATTTAAAGTCAGCCCTTGGCATGGGGGCTCTTGCAATTGTCTGGGGGGCTCTTGCAATTGTCTGGGGGACAGATAGTGGCCCTGGAACTACGAGGTGTTGGGCACCCAGGGAGAAATACAGGACAAGGTTCTTCCACATCCATGATTCTGCATCCACGTATTTAACTAACTGCAGATCGTGTAGTACGTAGTATTTCCTATTGAAAATAATCCATGTGTATAAGCGGACTCACACAGTTCAAACCCATGCCGTTCAAGGATCCACTGTATTTCTCCATGGATGCCCAATACCTCATAGTTCCAGGGCCACTATATGACCCCAGGCAATTGCAAGAGCCCCCCACAATGGGTCTCCTACTTTTCTGCAATCTTCCTTCCACAAAATAGAAACTGAGGTCTTTAAAAACCATAAGGCAGAAGCCTTCAGACCCCAACTAAAAATGAACTCCCATCCCCCCTGGCCTTTCACAAAGCCTTTTGTGACCTGGCCCGCCTTGGCCACTCATCTTCTTTTCCAGCCCCCTCTCCTAAGTGCATCTAACCCCTGCTACTCATGCTCCTCATCCAGCCTAACCTCAAAGCCTTGATCCTGATCGTTGTCTTTGCCTGCAGTTCCTCCCCCAGACCTGCAGGCCATCAGGCTGGTCATTCAGGTCCCAATCAGAGGTCACCTGTCAGGGAGAACTTCCCTGAGCCCCCAGGGGAAATTCACCCCCCACCCCACATCTCCTTGTCTCCTTTTCTTCATCAAACTTTTCACTCCCTGGAACTAGCTTTTCACATACATAATTCTTTTGCTCTTGTCTGCTTCTTTGCCTGCCTCTCACCTACTAGGATGGAAGATCCTCCAGGACAGGGACTTGCCATCGATGCAATGGTGCCTGGGATGTAGAGGTGGTCAGTACATGCTTGTTGAAAGAACGAGAAGAAAAATGAGTAAGTGGGTTTGAATCGACACGGCCCACAGGAGTGTGAAAATCATGGGAATTCTTTGAGTTCCTCTGATCGGGGGTAAACTAATTTTAACTAACCCTCCAAGGGGTCTTCAAGTAACATCTGGTTTATGTATATATTTAATTACACCTTTACTTCATTGCAAAAGAATTTGTGGGCATTTTCAAAGATTACATAGAGTGCATTAAAAATTGTTTTAAAGGAAATAGTAAATATGGAGAGGAAATAAGCACTGAAAAAATAAGATAAAATGATGGCAAGATTAGTAATTAGAATACCTATCACAGAGTTCTTTCTTCCTTGACAGAAGAGGACTGTAAATTTGACTTTGAACTTATTAGCTAGTGACAGCTTATCTACATTAACGTCCTTAAAAATGAGGAAAGGGTAAAACTTTCCTTATTGAATTTTCACCTGTTAGCCATGAGTCATAACAGCTAAGCTAACATTCAACGTGTTTCCAATTAATTCTACTAACCTCAGTTACAGCACTAACTATGATTTGTTATCAATCAGTATTTATTAAACATCTGCACACAAAGGGCTCATGCATTCCAACAAATTCATGCTTTCCTCCTGTGCTGCCCTAATAACATGGCAGGATTCTGACTACTCGAGACATTTACGGGGAGCAGAGCCTGCCGGAAGGCTCCTTGACAAGCCCTCTAGGGGACATAGGTCTGACTCAGCTTACTCCTACCCGGGCGAAAATTCTTATTTGAGTTTAATGTACAGGCTCCTTAATAATACTGAGGTTCAATTTCTTCCTCTGCCTTCTCATCCCACTTTTCCAGAATAAAGTCCCTCATTGGTTTAATTTTTTCCTAAAGTGCACAGCTTTTCCAAAATTCTGCTCATCTCTGTTTCTCTGGAAGCTTCCCCTGTTCTCCCTCTCCCTCTCTCTGCTACACACACGTTTTTGGAAGGCAGGATGGCATAGTGTTGTAAGCATGGGCCATGGACTATTGGCCAGACTGCTTAATATTTGTGTGTCTCAGTTGCCTGCTTGCAAAACTGTGGATGACAAATGTGTTTGTACACGTAAAGTGCTTAGAACAGAGCCTGGCACAAGGCAAGCACTATGTGAACTCAACTATCTTTATGATTACATGCTATTCCCCTTTAAAGTGCCCCTCCTTCCCCGTGTCCCTCAGCAGAAACTATCTTTATTCCTGTTGTCTTCTGTCTCCATGTCTCTGAACATTCCTGGTGTTTCTTTTCCCTCTTCTTTGCTTGGAAAACTCCTATTCATCCTCCAAAACTGATCTGAGATACTTCCTCCTGCAGAAAATCTTCCTTAGTTGACACACCCACCCCTCCCTGGGGCTCCCCTGGCAGCCGGCGCACCTCTCTGTCACAGCCTTAGAATACTGTGAGGTGTTAACTGTTTGCCTGCCTGTCTCTGAAAAGGACTTCTGAGCCAAAGGCTGAAACTTGACCCTTGGTGCCCACGGTGTCTGGCAGATTGATTGCTACTCAGTGGCTGCCCAGGTCTGGGCTGGTTGAAGTAAAATGAGCACAGGACTGATCCCACAGACAGAAAATCAGCCAAGAGAATGACCGCACCCCATTTCTCTCGCGTTCCATACTCAAGCTTTGCAGTGTCAGGCTTGCTTTTCTGAGAGTGAAAGGCTTATTTCTCTGTCATCCTGGACTCTCTGTGACCCCACGGATTGTACCCCGCCAGGCTCCTCTGTCCCTGGAACTCTCCAGGGAAGAATACTGGAGGGGCTAACCATTTCCTTTTCCAGGGGATCTTCGCAATTCAGGGACTGGACCCAAGTCTCTTAGATTGCAGGCAGATTCGTTACTGTCTGAGCACCAGGGATGCCTGCTTTTCTGGCTGGGACTAAAAGAAACTGTATTTTTATTCTTTATCATTTAAATAAACATTTAATTCATCATCATACTAATAGGAATAATTCATCATTAAATAGGAAACAAAGTCCTACTTCCTTCCCAAAACACATTTCAGGAAAATGGCCTAAATGTTGGACCCTTCACCGGGCCCTGGATTCAAACCCCAATTCTGCCTCTCCTAGTGGTGAAGTTTGGGGCAGAGCAGTTCACTTCCTTGGATTTTGATGTTTGCACCTGTAAAACAGGCGTTGTGATGCTTGTGATGGTAGATGTGAATGTGCTTTTAGAACAGCATAGCATTCCTCTGTGGATGTGAGAGAGTGTTACTTGAGGAGAAATCTTGGTGTCTAGACTTACACACTTATCTAATTAAGGGGCAGGGAAACTATTTCAGTTCAAAGGTTAACTGGAGATAATATTCCCTTTCAATCAAGATTCAGCTCTGCAGCGTTTTGCAAATTTATATCTTCAGTTACATTGTTTCATTAGATGTTAAAAGATGTTTCCGTACAGCTCACATAATCAGCGCTGCTGAGGAAGGCAGGGTGTTCATGCATCCCAAACCCTTAGCTCTGCAGGGCTTGCTGAGTGTCCAGGGCAGAGGACGACTCTGTAATTTTACCAAAGGGAGGTGGGGGCAGGGCCGACAATCAGGGCAAAGTCCAGTTTGCATACTCCAAACACAGGGCTGTGTGAATTATGACTATTTTTACATGGCGGCTGAACCATGAAAACTTACACGTAATGATTTGTCAGCTAGAATATGTCTACATGCCAGTCCTTTAATTTTTCTTTGCTGCTTTCTAATTTTACTGTGATGATAACAAACAAAACCACAGCACTGCCATCAGAAACCAGAGCATGTCCATGAATAACTAACAGACTGCATACAGTTTTCCCAGTGAATTTTCAAAGCCAAGTGTGGGTTGGCTTTTGTACATAAATTGCCAATGCGCCTTTTCCATTCTGGTGGGAGCTCTCTGAAGGGAACATTACAGCTGTGATGAATAACAGTCCCTCTAAAGAAGCTGGCGTGAGGCACGCATTTCATCCCACTGACTGGAACACTGTGCCCATCGCCAAATGTGCTGGGTCTCCCACCATTAAATAAATATATACATATGTCACTTGGCTTTGTTTCCAAGTCCTGGTTCTATAGAAACCAAGCACTTTATTACTATTAATAATGCTACAGTTATAACAGATTCAAAACCAAGGAATGGTGCTTTGTCCTTAAATGGTGACTTTGATTACATTTCCCATTGTTCATTACTTAATTATTACTTACAGCATCTTTTAACTCTTCCCTTACCACTGCAATAAATGGGGGTATTCTAA